GACGACGAATAATCAACGCATTACTCTTGTATGAGGCGTGTATTTAAGACGGCGTCGGCCGTTCTCTAAGCGCACTGTAGACGACCTGATGTGGGAGGTTAGGATAAGCAAGCCTCTTTTGTGTAACGGATAATCCGCGTACATGTTGCCAAGTCACATCACGTCCCGCCCGACCTTTGTCTCTCCCAGGGACGGAGGCTAAAGAAAACCCGAAGAACGCTGCCTAAATGTTATAATACTTCCAAATAAGAAGCAGAGTAAGCAACAGCGGGTACTCGCGTTGACAAGCAGGGCCACTCGATAGGGCTGAAGTGAGAGAGGCAGACAGACTAGTCGAGCGCGGATGTGGCTGCTGATGTGCATGGGCGACCTTTGTCTTGGCTTGGCACACACGGGGTGCAGTGTTGACAAGGGAAACTAGCCTGATTTGAATTATAGCAAGACAGATTTGGGTATAGAATAGGTTGCGAGGGAGGTCTTTATATTTAGACAGGACCTCTTGGGTTTGGATCCGTATTTCATGTAAAAAGATATATACCTTATTCGAGGAAGCCGTATGTTCTACAATGGGACATTCTTTGCAACTGAGGCTGTAACGTGATTGAAAATTGTTCATTCACTCACTGTAGTAATAGTCATGTGAAGGAGGTGAGAGAGAAATGATCATGAATTTGGGTTTTTTTTCCTTGAATCTTCAAGCGAACCTATGCTAAGCCCCTCATATGACGAAAACCACGTCAACTCATAACCCCCGAGCCCGCTTCAATGTGAACGATGATAATGATGCCAAACCAGCTCACAGACCCCATACAAATTCCATAAGAATGCAAGAAAACGTAATTTCCAAAAAATAAAAATAAAAAGTCAAAACAAAAAGACGAAAATCATGCCAAATGAACGAGAGGACCAAGAGACCCAACTGATAGTTGGTTCTGTTTCACGCAACGCGAAAACTCTCCTTGATGGCAGCCCCCAGCCTCTGAATCGCCTTATCCATATTCTGCTCGCTGGCCGAGGCGAACGTAGCGCGGAAGAAGAGGTCCTTGAGCGGGGTGTCCTGCTCGGTGCGGAACCAGGAGCCGCGGGCGCAGAGGACGCCCTTTTCGATGCACGAGTTGAAGATTTCTTCCTCGATTTCGATGAGGGGGCGGGTGGTCTTGCTATCTGGGTGGGCGGCGTGATCTATTTTCAGCCATAGCTGTATAACGGGAAACGAAGGTGGTCAGTCTCTCGGAGCAAGTATTATCACACGGAGGGATATATATGTAAAAGAAAAAAGAGGCGGGAAGAACTTACAAACATGCCAGCAGCAGGGGGCGTCCAGCTCACGATATCACGGGGAAGATGCCTCTCGCACGCGGCGAGCAGCCAGTCGCGGCGCTGCGTGTACTCCATGCGCAGGTTCATCAGCCACTGGAGGTACCCCTCGTGGCCCCACGTCTCGTCGAGCAGCTTCCACACGGCGACCTGCGAGAACCCCGAGGGCCCCTGGTTCGCGACCTCGGCGTGGCGGATGAAGCGCTCAATCACCTGCGCCGAGGCCGTCACCCAGCCCAGTCGGGAACCGGGCACGAGGACCTTACTGAAGGAGTCCATCCGGAGCACGCGGCCGTCCGTGTCCATGCTTAGCAGGGAGGGGATCAGCGTGCCGAGGAACTCGTCGACGGAGGACGGGGGCGGGGTGGCAGGGGCCGAGGCATCGGGCCCGGCGTACGGCTGCATCTGGAGGAAATAGTAGGGCTCGTCTTCGATAATGTAGAGGTCGTGCTTCTGCGCCACGGCGTAGATGGCGCGCCGCCGAGCCGCGGACTGCGTCGCGCCCGTAGGGTTCTGGCCCGAGGGGACGGTGTACAGCAGATGCGGCTTCCTGTGCCCGCCCCGCGCCTCCGGGTCCCACGCGGAGAGCATCTCGTCCATGGCGTCCGGCAACAGACCTTCCGCGTCGACGGGGACGCCGACGGCCTTGACGCCGAGCGGGGCAATGGTCTCGAGCGCGGTGGAGAAGCTGTACTCCTCCGTCAGGACGGCGTCTTTGCGGTCTTTATCGCAAAACATGCGCAGCGTCTGCTCGAGGGCGGCGGTGCTGCCGACGGTCTGGCAGCACTGCCAATCTGCGTAGGGCGGGTTGTAGACGAGCTCGGTGTGTTCTGTGACGAAGCGCATCATTTGGGCGGAGCCGGTGGACTGGGTGTAGTTTAGGGCGATGGAGAGGTCGTATTCCGCGCGGCCTTCGGGGTCGTCGCGGACGTCGTATTTGCCGACGGTGATGTCTTGGCCGTGGGCGCCGATGGTGTCGGCCTCGGAGAAGTGCGGGGCTGTGGGGACGCGGACGGAGAGGGAGGCGAAGGGGAAGTAGGCGCTCGAGGGGAGGCCGCCGCCGAGGGAGATGAGGCCGGGTTTCTTGAGGTGGCGGGCGGCTTGTTTGAGGGAGCAGGGGTGGCGGGAGAGGGATTCTTTGGAGAGGTGGTCTTGAAAAGGTGTGTCAGTGAGATGAAAAGCTCAGGGAGTGAAAGGATATGTGAAGCTTACGATCCCATCGCTTTGATGTGGGTTTCCCAATGGCCTGTGATGAGAGGTCAGTACAACGTCACTTGAAATCTGAATGTACTGAGAAAGGCAGCATACGGGAGCTTTGAACATGTCGCTGTCTGAAGCGGCGGCCACGCCCGCAATCAGCTTGCCGGCCTTGGCCCTGCGTTCCCGGACGCCATCGAACGGCGACGGCTGCTGCCTCTTCTCAAAGGTTGCTTTCCTCTCCACGGGGACGGCGTCTGCCACGGATCTGTCACTCGATTTTGAGTGAAACGGGCGTTGAGAGGCAACGGGCTCCCAGGTCACCGGGGCGCGTTCCCGGCCCCGGAGCCGGAGATCTGTAAGTCGAGATGGGGTGCGAGGAGGGGCAGCAGAAGCTGATAAGGGCTCAGAGGAGGCCCGGCAGACGGAGCCATTGAGGCCACGGCGAGCAGCTCTCGAGTACATGCTTGCGGGGACCCGATTTGAGTTGTGAGGTGTTTAAAGAAGGAAAGTGTTCAGTGTGAGATTTCAAGAGGTGTTGTGAATTGTGTTGCAGGTTGTCGGTTACCTCAGCCCGAGTCCAGGGAGCTTTCGAGATAACAAAGGGCGTAAGGCGTATCTGACACTCTACACGCGGGCGCGGGTGCACCAGGTGGTGGGGCAGCCCGCAGCTACCCGCAGCTACCCATGACTCCCCCGCATTGTGCTACTGTTTGCCCGTAATTTTTAGGTAATTAGGGGTTCTCTGGCCGCTGCGGACGCTGTGAGCTTTCCCTTTTTAGTGTTGTTAGAAGATCATTTTGGGACTCCAGTTACCAATGTGCTAGGTTGCGGTGAGGGGAAGGAGGGAATCGCCGGCCATTTGAGGAGGGATTGCGTGACGCCGGTTGCGGATCGTAATGGTGGACCCAAATCATCCGGCTCCGTGTGGATACCCGTGACGGGGCCCAGTCCGGGGTACTTGACCGTCGGCCGGTTTGCGGGACCGTCGTGAACCGGGTGTCAGTTCACACATAGCAGTGGGTCAGACGAGATCAAAAATCATAATGGATAGAGTATCCGTCCGGGATGAACGGCATTCGAGATTGAACCATGTGCTTCTTTTCGAAGCGCACAGAAGCCCGGCCTTCCGTCGAGTCCAACAACAACGCCAGCGCACGAAAATCCCAGACCGCGCAACGGCTTCCATGGGTCACGGGCCTGTCGCTGAAAAGTGTCAGTCACCATTAGCTGCCTGCGCCCCCGTCCGAGACACCTGTCCGCCAGACGTACGGATACGCAATCGTCACGAAGCCGGATGTGAGAGCCGGCGCCCGTGGACATCGAAGCCCGAAGAAGGCCCCCTGCCTGTTCGTAGGTATCCCACACTCATGCGAGGCCTCGCGTCCCGCGTTCCCGAGCCCCCGTCTTGCGTACTCCGTACCTGAATATCATCGTCAGAGATTTAACCCCATTTCAGCTACCATGACTTTTTTACCAATCCTTGGATGTTGCTGCGGGAGAGGGGTCCTCACAAGATTCTGGCACCGAGTCGGCGGGCCTTGAGTCCTGGCGCCAAGGGTCTGGCGGAGCCCCAGCCACCCGTCGTTCACCAGCCACGCCATTTTCAACGCTACCTACCAACCAATCAGGACTTTGGAACTCATCCCAACCTCCCCTCGTCTCAACTTTCTTTCCAGGGCAGCCAATCCGAGTTGGACGGACAACGAACAGGGAACACCACATAGCGGCACCGCGGAACAACGGCCATTGATTGCTGTTCGTCCAGCGCAAGAAAAACATGGGAAAACATCTCGATGTTGATGTCCCTTCATTTCCACCCATCGGCCACCCCCCCCCACACCCTCTTGGTAGGTAGTAGGGTACTAGGTTTGGCGGCGCATGGGTTGATGAATTCTCTTGGACTATTTTCCAAGGCCCAAGGCCCGAAAAAAATACTGCTTGGAACCCAAGAGGACAAGAGGGAAAAAAGGCCCTGCACGGCCCGATGACGCTACTGCAGCTGCCAGTGGCTGGGCACATGGAAAATGATTGGGAACATGCAGACAGCTCACATCATATAACACCAATCTGCCGCTGCCATTCTATCACGGCCCGCCCGTGTGATGTACAATTTCCCTTGTTCTTGCTGCTGCCAGTTCCTCTCCCTACCTCACGGGCTCACGCTTACTCCTGTCCACCCACCCCCTCCTGTTGCCCAAGTGCGACGTGCCACGGACTTACACGGATCCTTGTCTGCATCTTTTCCCTGTGACGTCGCCAGCTCCCAACGGACCTTGGCTTTAGGTCGCAGCGGGCCTTTTTTTTCTTCTTATTCCTCGGCGGTTCAACTTGGAGATTCTCTTCAAGTGGGAGGAGACTTGAGTTAACCTCTCTTCCTCTCTTTCACCGACGACTTCACCCTCGACCTCCCGAGTCCCTGTAACACCTCCCCCTCGATCGACTGGCTCTCTGCGGTGGAAACCCTCACATATCCAAATCACACAATGTTCTTCTCAAGAAGACTATTCGCCGGCCTGACGGCGTTGGCAACAACAGCTTCAGCGCAGACGTATTCGACGTGTAACCCCCTCCAACAAAGTAAGTCTCAAACTGCCGTCACACGATGCCACCCAAACAAGCAACATACTGACCTCTCCCCGCTCTTCAGCAACATGTCCCGCCGACACAGCCCTCGGCATGGCCATCCACGTCGACTTCACCCAAGGCGCCGTAAACTCCTTCGCCGCCTCGGGAAACCCAACCTACGGCTCCGACGGCGTAACCTTTAGCGTCGCTGCCTCGGGCCAGGCGCCTCAGCTCATGTCCCTCTTCTACATCATGTTCGGCCGCGTCGAGATAACCCTCAAGGCCGCCACCGGCGCCGGTATCGTCAGCTCCCTCGTCCTGCAGTCCGACACTCTCGACGAGATCGACATGGAGTGGCTCGGCGCCGACCCGACAGAGGTGCAGTCAAACTACTTTGGTAAAGGCGACGTGACGACGTACAACCGGGGCCAGTTCCACCAGACCGACAAGAACAACCAGGAGAATTTCATGAAGTACACCATTGACTGGACCTCGGAGCGCATCGTCTTCTCCGTCGACGGCACCGTCGTCCGCACCTTGAAGGAGTCCGAGGCCGATACGAACCAGTACCCGCAGTCTCCGATGCAGGTTAAATTCGGCTCCTGGTCCGGCGGCGACCCGGCCAACGCCGCCGGCACGATTGACTGGGCCCGCGGGCCGACAGATTTCTCCAAGGGGCCCTTCCACATGGTCGTCAAGGATGTTTCGATTACGGACTACTCGACGGGTAAAGAGTACAAGTACACCGACACCACGGGTAACTGGGGCTCCATCCAGGCCGTCGACGGCCAGGTCAACGGGAACCTGGGGAAAGCGGGCCAGGTCACCTACACGGCCAGCGCGGCCGCCGAGACGGGTAGCCCAGCGCCCACGGTACCCCGCGGCGGTATCGGCGCCGACGAGTCGGCTTCCGCTACGCAGACGGGTTGGCCCTGGGTCGCGAGCGCGAGACCTACGGGCGGTTCTGTGCCGGACGGCTGGCGCATGACGTCCGAGGGCAAGATTATCCCCGACGGCGCGGGCAACTCGGTGCGGCCTTCGTGTTTGATCTTGGTGGTGTCGTTTGCTGTTGGTGTGTTCGCTTTGATGGGGCGGTGAAGAAGATGTAACGATACCCCCCCCCCCCCCTCCGCCTGGAGAGGTGTTTCTTTTTTTGGATTTTTTTACATGATGTAATGGAATATATGCGACGGGGGGATGTTTTCTGGTTTTCTGGAGGGGACACGCACGACATTTAGAAAATGGGATGGCTCACCTCAAAAAAGGGCCTATGCATCGGACGGCGTTTTTGGGAGGCATCAAGGGACGGGAAACCACACGAAGTGGATTTGAAACATTTAAGACGCATTACTTTTGTAAATAGAATAGACGCAGCTTTTCCCTGCGTAAAGAACCATTCCAACGCGCGTGAACCGGAAAGCAATCATCGAACTGATCTTTGCAATTGATCCCTTTGGATTATGATTTCTCGTCCGCTTCGAGGAGCGGGCTGCTTCAACGGGGAACCGAAGCGGGTCGACGCGGCTACGCTACTAGAACGTTTCTGCATGCGTGACATGATATCTGGCGTTGTGGCAGAGTGGTCTAATGCGCAAGACTAGAAATCTTGTTCCTTCGGGAGCGTCTGTTCGAATCAGGCCAACGTCGATGTTTTTTTGCATTTTGGACTATGCCTTCGTGGTCTTTAATAGATCTCGAGTGGCGGCACTCATTTTTCATTTTTGTGTTTTATTTTATTGTTCCTTCTGGCTTGGGTGTGGCATAGAAGCCATTTTTGTCTTTGCATGTCGTATAACTGAATGATTGGGAAATACCGCCTTACACTTTTCCAATTCCCATAGAGGTTAATCCACCAACCCACTCCCAATTCACTCCCTCATCACTTCGAAATCACCTCCAAAAACTTGTTCCGGTTTGTAATCTTGACCATTGATTAGGTTCGGCGTAGCCCAGAAGCTCTTCCATGACCCCGTAAGCAATAAAGCAAGCTACCTGTTGCCGCACCCCAACCTTGGGGAAACGGCTTGTTGAAACTTGACATCACATCTATGCGACACTCTAAAGTTGCTGAAATCGCTGTTATTTTAATTAACTAAGCTAGTCTAGTCTGCTGTGGCCTGTTTGTGGCTCTATAGCAAAAAAGCGTAATCGGCGGACGATGGCCCCCAGGTCACCATTCTCTACAAAAGCTCCGTTTTATCTCTTTAGGCAACACCCCCTCCCTTCGCTGTATGCATTGGCACTTCCTCGCGCCCTCAACCGCAGCTGATATATACCTTTTCTTCCTTGTCGTCCTGAGTAACTTGCTTCAGATACCGAACCGGGCCATCGCGTAGAGTGGTCCCTAACTGGCAGGGCGTCCCAGGCCCGGGTTAAAATGCTGAAATAGAAATGCTTTTGGTACAAACAAACAAATACAGTAAAAGTGACGGGGTACGATGGGGTTGGTTCAGCAAAGCAACTGAAATTCTGGAAAGAACGTAATCAGAACTCCCAGTCATCATCCTCGACGGACTTGATGGCCCAGCTGAACTTCTCGCGCAGCGTCTTGGAGAAGAACTTCTCAATAGGAACGTCAAACTTCTTGGCAAAGACAACCGTAAGGCGAGGATCAATGTAGTTCTGGAATATGTTAGCTTTGGATCTCTTTCAGCCAGGCGAATAACTTACGATCTTAGAGGTGCTCAAGGCAACCTCCTTGTTGCCATCACGATCAGCAGCCTGAAGCTCCAAAGTCTTGACTCTGTCATCAATCTTCTTGGCCTGCTCAACGAGCTTCTCAACTGTAGGGCCTCGGCCTTCCGGCTCAACCTTCTTGGACTTGTTCTCTTTCTTGAACTTGGCGGCAAGTTCGTCCGCAGCCTTAAGGCGCTCCTTACGCTCCTTATCGGGGAACGGCTTCTCGCCATCGGCCAGGCGCTTCTCGTTATCCTTCTGGAATTTCTTCTCAATCTTGGTGCGCTGCTCTTCCACCAAGAACTTTTGGTGCTCGAGGATCCACTCGTCGGTCAACTCTTCGGGGCGAGCAAAGTATTCGGCACCCTTCTTCTTCTTCACCTTGTTGTCGATTTGAAGCATCATCTGCTTCAGGCGCCATTGCTGATATCGGAGGCCCTTGATGCGGTCGCCGAGCTTCTCCATCTGTGCCTCGTGGGCAGCACCGACCGTGCGCTTGTGGTTGCAAAGAATAGCCACCTCACGGTTGCAGTCGTTGTACAGCTTCACCTTCTCCGCAATCGTCAGGTTCTTGTGATCGACTAGCTTCTGCAGGAGAGTGGACATAGTGAAGGACGCGTTGTAGGTACGGAACACCTTCGCTGTCAGGCCCGGCATGTAGTTCTTGAGATGGTTGTTCAGCTGCGTAGTGGTCAGGCGGTCGAAAATATCGTCACCGTCAGTCTTGGGCGACTTCTTGAAGAGCTTCAGGTTCTTAAAGACCTGCTTTTCAACAGTGACCTCATCGTAGAATCGAATACTGTCCTTTCCGAGGAAGTCGAAGATGACGGTATTGGGCTCGCGGAGGGTGATGTGCTCATACTTGAGAGAGCAGCAACCGACGGTCTCGGCTTCGTTCTCAGAGTCCTTCTCGTTGCCAGCTCTGAGAGCAAACTTGTCAATCAGGTACACGGCCGTGGCTCTTTGTCGGTCCGCCATGACCTCGCTCTTGAGATCCTTCGTGTAATCCCTTCGAATCTTGTCGATGTGCTTCTTGAGTTCTCTTGCCTTTTCAAACTTCTTCATGTCGCTCTGACCCTTGATTGCACTGGCAGCGCCAAGCATCACGTACTTGTATGCACCGTTGATGTTCTCCTGCCACATGGCCAGCCAAGTAGCCTTGTTGTCGTGAACAACCGCCTTCCACTTGTGGCCCTTGGGCGGTGTCGGAACCTTGGCATCCTTGCCAATATTGATGGTAATCTGCTCAGGATACACTCGCTTCTTGAGCTTTCCAGTCTTTGGGTGCTCGCCACGGCCGCGGAACAGACTCGGAGGTTCAACGCGGAAGTTGCCAACCTTTTCCTTGCGGCCATCCCACTTGCAGTACATGAAGGGAGCTTCCGTTTCATCCTTCTCAGCCTTGATTGCCTTCTTCTCTGCAGCTGTCCGGTTCTTTCTGATGGCGCTCTGTTGCTCGTAGTAATTGAAGATGGGCTCGAAATCCATCTTCATAAAGTCCTTAATGTCGACCTTATTGCCTTGCTTGTCGGTTGCATGGCCTGACTCCTTGAGAACAGCCTTGAAATCGTCGAAAAAGTTCTTCTGGAAGACGGGATTGTCGACGTTGTGCTTGGAGTTCAGCATCGCTCCGAAGAAACCGGCAACTTCTTCAGCCTCAACTGGTAGGTTGACCGGCTTGCCATCGTACAGCAGCCTGACGTTCTTGGGAAGGGCCTGGTACTCGGGTGGGAACATGACGCCGTTGTGCTCCAAGGTCTTCCACTTGACGCTGTCGTCCTCCTTCTTAGGGGCGTTCCACCATTCGTACTCTTCCTCCTCTTCATCTTCAGGAGCCTCGCTTTCCGCCTTGGCCTTTGCTCCCTTTTTGGCTGGTGCTGCGGCAGCCTTGCCCTTTGCTGCCGTAGCCTTGGCCGGGGTGGCCTTCTTCGCTGCAGCCTTTCTTGCGATGGGCATATCGGAGTCGGATTCGGATTTAACTCCATTTGACTTTCTGGCACCGTTCGATTGGCGCTTCTTTGCTCCCGACCTGGCCAAAGGCACATCGTCGTCGGAAGACTCTTCCTTTTTCGCCTTCTTCGGGGTTGCCTTCTTTGCCTTGGCCTCGCTGGCACGAATGCTGCGAGCCTCCTTGGCGGCTGCCTTCTCAATGTCCGCCTTCTTTTGCGCGAGCCTGGCGCCCAATGGCTGATCATCATCAGAGGATTCGTCGGGCAAAGCTGTCTCCCGGTAGGAAGGAGGCAGGTTCTTGCCCCTCTTCGAAGTGAGAGGTTCGTCGTCCGAATCCGTTTCTGGTGCCTTGACCTTGGTCTTTTGTCGCTTGGCCTAGAGTCGCTGTCAGCCTCGGACTCCGCCACCGTCTGTCTGCCTGCCATGTGTAACCTACCAAAGGAGCATCGTCATCGCTGTCTTCGGTTTCGTCCTTGTAATTGACCTTGGGTAAGGATGAACGAGACTTGCGCTTGCCGTTCGTCGATGGGCCATCGACGTCCATCGCATCGTCATCCTCGACGGGTCCATTGCGGATAGAGAGACCCGGCGGGGCCGCTCGTGCCTTGGAGGCGGTTCTGTCCATGGCGATGTCGTCGGCTTTCGATATCCTCGATGCAGAAACTGTCGGTGATCAGGTCAGAAGGCTGTTAAGTTTTCCTTGGGTTTCGTAGGCAAAATCGGGATGCAGGAAGTACGCGACGAGTCAGGTGGGTTCGCTGGGGCGAGAGGAGGGAAAAAGTGACACGTCCGGCGTAAAGTGGCAGGCGCGAAGGGTAAAGCGTCCGAAAGCGCAAAAGTTTATGTTTATTAGCGTACTTACTATGTCCGTTCGACCTCGCAAGAGGTGCGTCGTCGTCTGAGGAACTCATGGTGGGAAAAGGTCTCGGTTCGCGACGTTTACGGACGGTTAAGTAAGAACTGAATCGCAAAGTCCAAAACCGGGGCTTGGTGGAGCAGAAAAAGTTGTTATAGAAGCCGATCCGCGCGGAAGAATCGCGTAGGTATAGAGGCAAGAGCCGGATGGTTGGAAAGGCCGCCACTTGATGAGTTGAAAGACGTAGGGAAGGGCACCCACGTCTCTGCGAATCGAAAGGGAAGACGAGGTTTTTTTTTTCGAGGGATCGAGGGAACGAAAAAAGAAGGCCGGGGGTGGGAAAGGCGTCGAAGGCCTTCTAGCTACGAGCGAAACTTAATGGGGCTGCCCCTAGGAGTCTAACTGTCTAGGTAAGCCCGGGTAGGTAGGCACAGGTAAGCGGGTGGCAGGTGCTGCAAGGACACAGGAAGGCCCGAACTAATCCAATGCCTGCGCCACAGCTTCACAAGGCACGTGACCGTCCTGAGCCACCCGGCTGCCGGTCAAACTCAGTTAGCCGGGAAAACGAGGTGGATGGAGTCGGGTGCGAAGACTGCTAGCCGGGGAGGAAAATAACCTCGAACCTACCAATCTCGCTATCCCGAAGCACCGTCCGACAGCCTCAATTGATCTCGAAAGCGGTCGTGGTCAATTGCTCCCCACAAACGGCAGAGGCTCGATCTTCTTAATACCTCAAACTTCACAATGCTTTCCCGGGCGGCGAGACCAGCTCTGCGAGCTGCAGCTGCGGCTCCCTCGCGGTAAGTCGGAATCCACACCTTCCTGAGCTCGGAAAATCGGAGGAAAGGGACAACACGTCAGACAAGTGCCGACGGTCGGCCATCAACGATGAAAGAGGACGGGACTCGAGGGACATACTGGGAACGATATCAATTGAACACAAAAGAGAGAGAAAGGAAAAGAGATAAGAGCTGTCATGCTGATTGTGCGGCGTTTCCAGAGTTACGGCCAGCGCGCCCACCAACGCTGCCAACTTCGCGACCCTCCGTGAAATCGAAGGCCGCCTCAAGTCCATTCGCAACATCGAGAAGATCACCAAGACGATGAAGATTGTCGCCTCGACCAAGCTCAACCGTGCCCAGAAGGCCATGTCCGACTCTCGCGTCTACGGCGCCACCTCCAACAAGGTCTTCGACTCCGCCGAGACCAAGCCTCTCGAGGGCGAGGGCAAGAGAGAGCTCATCATCATCTGCTCCTCCGACAAGGGTCTCTGCGGTGGTATTCACTCTGGTCTCTCCCGTACCATCCGCCGCGAGTTCGCCGAGAAGAACGCCACCGCCGACCTCGTCATCCTCGGCGAGAAGTGCAAGGCCCAGCTTCAGCGCACCAACGCCAAGGACATCCGTCTCTCCTTCGCCGGCGTCGGCAAGGACGTCCCCACCTTTGCTGATGCCTCTGCCATCGCCGACCAGATCGTTCAGCTCGCTGGCGACTACTCCTCCATCAAGATCCTCCACAACAAGTTCATTAACGCCACCAGCTACGAGCCTGTCACTATTGAGGCATTTTCCGAGGAGGCCATCACCCAGTCCCGTAAGCTTGCCCCGACACGAATGAGATTGATACTGGACGAATTGAACTAACATTGGATTCAAAGCCAACTTCTCCGCCTTTGAGGTCGATGAGGAGCTCATCCCCAACCTCCGCGAGTACGCTCTTGCCAACTCCATCTACTGGGCTCTGGCTGAGGGTCACGCCTGCGAGATCTCTGCCCGTAGAAACGCCATGGACGTACGTCACTATCCTCCTTGACATAGCCCTTGCCCAGATTAATACTTTATACTGACACACCATGACAGAACGCCTCCAAGAACGCTGGTGATATGATCCAGAAGTACCAGATTCTCTTCAACCGTACCCGTCAAGCCGTCATTACCGGAGAGTTGGTTGAGATTATCACTGGTGCCACTGCCTCCGAGGACATGTAAAGCGGGTTTTTGGCAAAAAGCGCGCGCATCAGATAGAGATGATTATTACCTCTCTTCCCTTTGTATCAAGCTACCAAGGGCGGCTAGTTTAGCCCTCAGTGTACCAAATCCTCGCGAATACATCCTGATCTAGAACATGGATCGGTTATTTTCATCTATTTTAAAACCCGAGATCTGCAAAGTCTATGCCGTTTGATAAACGTGTTGCCATTTATTGCTTTACATATACTCTTTTTTCGAGAGGGCCTTATGTACGGGAGCTACAGTAATTACTGTGCAGAACACTGAAAAGGTCAGTCTGCTACAACCCTTTTCAAGTTCCAACGAGAGCAAATATGACATGTATGGAAGGGGTATGCAGAACTCCTCGACACCGTGAACGAGCAAAAACAATCAAGACACCCACCACCACAGACGAGCCCCCCGAATGCACCCTTCCTTGCCCTCCATGCAAACCCATGTATAAAGAATAGCAACCGGCCTAAACCCCATCAATGGAAAACCTCAGGGTGGTGAAGAAGGACAAAACACCCCACCCCTCGTCCCACCGCGCCTGGTCAAGTAGAAACCACCCATCCGTCAAAACTCCATCTCGCTGCCGTCACTTTCGGCGTAGCTGACATGCTTCGTCCTGCGGTACTTTTGCGCATTAATCTCCCGCTGCCGCGCCGTAGCAGCACTATAACTATTCCCACCACCACTACCACTGCCGCTCCCTCCGTTCTGCTGAAGAGGCACGTATGGGTGCTCCCGGTGATACGCGCTCATGGTCTCGACGTACTCTTTATCCCACCGCGCCGACGTCTCCTCGTACTGTTTCACGGCCTCGGCGTACGCCGTCTTCTGCGCGGCGGCCTCGTCCTCGAACGGCTTCTTTTCTTCTACGGAGGCGGCTCGCCACATCTTGGACGTCATGACGCGCACCTCGTTCGGCGCCGTCTTCTTCTTGCTGCCATTGCCGCTGCTGGCCGCCACGGCGCGCTCCTCCTCGCATCGCTGACGCGCGACCTCGAAGAAGGCACGGCTATAGAGGAGGTAGGCGTTGGCGGCTACCTTGGCCGGGCGTACGGGCCGTTCGCCGATTTTGGATTTGGTGTGTTCCCAGGCGGAGAGCTCGTAGGCTTCCAGACGGACTTGTTCCGGGTCCTTGGGTCCCTCCATCTCTTTGCGCTTGTTGGACACGTTATTGTTTCCTTTCCGTCGGACGAGGGGTGTCGGGACCTCTATCGGGCCGAGCATCGACTCGAGAACCTCTGACGCGGCACGGAGTCCCGAAAGGTAGGCTCCGTGGACGGTGGCCGGGTGTGTGCCGATTGTGTGCTCACCGGCGAAGAAGAGGTTGCCGATGGGGCGCGACATGGCGTCGTAGTCGTCCGGGTGCATCTCCGGTCCGGCCGAGGAGTAGCTCCCTCTGGCGAACCTGTCCGAGGCCCAGCGGGTGACCACCGACTCGGTGGGGTACGGTACGCCGAGGCCGAAGACGCTGCGTAGGACCTCAGTCGCCTCGGCGATGAGGTCCTCGTTACTGCTGTGCTCCGTATCGAAACCGGCGTCGCCGGCCATCAGGGCCACTAGGCACGGCATACCGGTGGTCTGCGTGACGTTGAACCACTGGAACAAGCGGCCTCGTGAAGAGCCGTAGTCACTTTGATTCAGGCTGTGGCGGTTCGGAGCGTCTCGCAGAACGCCAAAGATGTGTCTTTGAGTATCCCAGAAGGGCTGATCATAAACGAGTACAAGCTTGTTGAGCACTCCGTATCCTATACGGGTGACTGCTTCCGTCTTCCACTCAGGCAATGGCGGGTCGAACGCGATGTTGCCGTGTTTCAAGACTCCCAAAGGTATTGTCGAGACGACGTAGTCTGCGTCGATGGACGTCCCGTCCTCGCACTCAATCGATGCACGCCCGTTATTCTGTGGCTGGTACGTGATCTTCTTGACCGCGGATTTCGGGCGGACGTCGAGAGGAGTGGGGCAGTGCATGAGGCCTCTGGGAACGCTTTGGTAGCCACCTACAATCATGGTGTGCTTGCCTTCCCACTCATTGCCAGCGTCAATGTCCCAGCCTCCTAGACTAAGATTATGAAGATTTGTAGCGTTACTGTATTCCAGGTTCGCAACGTGCCAGTTGATGAGACGATGATCTTGGGCAGTCAGGTCGACAATATTGCGGTATTGTAGAACGGCCTCGTCCATCACTGAACCAAGCGTTGCCGCTGGCAGAGAAACAGCTTCGTTCAGATCAATATTGGCGTCGTTTGCCAAACCGGTCTTCAACGCCCATCCCATTGTCTGGGCTTTCTCCGTAGCCTTGAGGACACCTGGTGTGCCAGGCTGGGTGTGGACGCGGCCAGTGAGCTTATCTGACGAGACCGGCACCAGGTTTACTCGTTCGGGGACATTTTGTTGTGAAACGGGCGGCGCATGTGGGAGAGCCGCCACCGCTTCCTCAGCTTGGTGAATTGTCCGGTGGCCGTCACTCACAGCGTCTCGCGCCTCGTCAATCAAGTCTCGGTTGCCCTCGATTAGCTTGGCGGGCTGTGACTTGAACTTGTATTCGCTGACACGATCCAAGCAGTCATTGTAGAGCCTCTCTACGAGCTGGTCCCTTGCAAAGTCCACCGGCTTGCCATTGGAATCGTAAATCGTCGTTTCCGATCTCAGGGCACGGTATGGGAGGCACAATTGCGCACGCACGAGAACGTTCATCGGGTTGCCGCGTTCGAAGCCAGTAATGATCATGCCGCCCATTTCGGCGGTAAATCGTTCCCCGTCAAAGTCGGGTAATGGCAACGTCGGTTTGGTTTTGAACTCCCTCGAGTAAACCCTTCCACCCACTCGTCCACGCCCCTCCAGTACCACAATTTCAGGCACCGGTTCTCCAAGCGCCCGGAACCGATCCTCGTACTGTCGTATTAAGCCGTCCAAATGTCTGGCGCACCCCAAGCCGGACATACCAGCACCGACGATCACAATCTTCTTCTTGTTAAGCGGGACTTCCGCCTCTACGTCTTCTTCTTCGGGTTTATCGATCGTCGCTGGAAATTCTACACAGCCAAAGTTGATGTACCCGCGTCGTAACAGCCAATCGTAACATATACTTGCGACGTCAACCCATCTAGCACCAGCGCAACCGACCGCTTCATTCCTTGTCACTGCAACACGTGGATTATTGTACCAGAGCCGGAGGATGCCGTTTCTGATATTTAGGTACGTGGTAACTTGAACATGGCTGATGTGCTGTCGCAGCATCTGATATTCTTCCTGGTGCAGGGCATACGGGTTTAGTCTCGATGACTCGGCTGCTTCTATGCATTGCCTTGCATATTCATAGCTTGATAGATTCGAGGGTATGGACGACTTTGGCTTCACGTTGAAGGTCTGTCGCAATGCCTCGCGTATCGGAGGGGTCTCTGCTGATGGTATAGAGTCTTCCGTATGCCCGTCCAGTTCGACAGGGGTCGTTGCCTTACTAGACACCGACGACGGCACCGATGAAAGCTCAGACTGATCGTGATCAGATAAATTGGTCATCGGCGACTCGAAAGATTCGTGAGGGGTATCATGTGACTGGATGCGGAGGGTCTCTAATGGAGCAGCCGCGTCTTCGGCTATTGGTGAACTGATCGATGGTCAGCTAAACCCGATCTCGAGCCTTCCAATATTCATCTGACAAAGGCAGGATTTCATCGTGAAAAATGCCGTAGGGTATCGTGATAACCTACTAAGGTTCCGATGCTGGACCGGAAGGATGTTGCATCTCATCCTGGCTTGAGTCATCCAGGTCCATGTCCATGTCTTCTGTCCACACGACAATTTCCGGTGCAATTTCTGAAACTGCTTCTGATGAGACTCGACTTGACGGTGTCGGCGTTGTCGATTCTGATAAATGTGAGGTCGATATCCGGCTCAGCATCGCACTGGCCCTCGGAGGCGTGAAGTCTGATATGTGTGAGCCCCGATCCGGAAAATCCATTAATGATCCCTTCCCAAACCCCGGTTCCTGCTTGACCCGAGACCTCGGACTAGATCTCATATTTCAGTCGTCGACACGGATTGGACTCGAGGATGAAAGATGGATATATATGTTGGTGGAGGCGGATGGTCGGTGATGATGAAATCTGCTCAGCCTGAGTCCCGACCAGGGTGTTATATGGCGGGTCTAGTCCCGAGTCGATAACATGTTACGATATCTCAGGTGGACCTGGATAGTCTCGCTGTATAAGCCTGGTCAGCTGATTGGAGTTCTCAGGCTCTCAGGAGTTGATATAAGACGAGGCAGTTGCAATGTACTTACCTTTTGACTGCGGAGACGCCACTTGCCCCGGCTGCAGGGCACTGTCCCGTCTTCGGTGCTTGATTGAGCCGTCCCGATGCAGGTCAAGTCGCGGTACACTGAAGAGGCACTAGGAGAGTCGCAAACAACTCAGTCTATGGTTTGAGACAACTATGTTGAGAAAACAAAAGTAACCCGGTCATAAAGGGAAGTCGTCAGATACATGACCCGTTGAAATCGCTAGGTTCGGCATTGGACATGAGGAGCTCCAGCGTTCGAGACAAAAAGGTGGGTCACGTGATGGGCCTTCGCTCCCGTCAGTCGCAAGCCACCCGACCCGACACATTGCTGTATCTGTACGGGCTGACTGCAGGCCCGAGCCAAAACCGGCAACACCACAGGAAGGCACTGACTCGAGGGGTTAAACTGCCGGTTAGCAACATCCGCTATTCACGTTGAGCAAGGAGGATTGCTTCTAGTTGGAAAACACTTCTCCACGAGAAGCTAATTATCTGTATGTTGGTCGTATCTTTCAAATGCCGAAGACGGCGTCCCTGTCTCTCAGCTCTACCAGTCTTCCACCGCAGACCCTGCGCCCTTTCTCATGCAGTTGGGCTCACCGGCTTGACGTTATCTCTTGCAAACGAATCCTTCTCAATTGCCGCATCCATCATTCGGTCTCCGCTAATGATCGATGTCGTGCAGATGACGATGTTTCTCCGAGCTACAAATGACATTGGTTAGTTGGGCAATGTTTTACACGATGGGTTCAATATGGGAAAATACCTTCTTCCTGCTTTGCAATGAACCGCAAAGCAGCGATTTCGGTGAATGTTATGCCTCCGACGAACACCACAAATACCGTTTGCTTCTCAGTGCCTCCCGAAAGTAACGCTCGAGCTTTGACAGCCTTCTCCTCGCCCTTTTGCAGCTCGTAGAATGTCTGCCCGCGGACGTGCTTTACGGCCTCGTCGAACCCGTGCCAGCCCTGTGCTGCGGAAGCTCCTGTCGCACCACTTACGCCATTGCCTCTGGTGACCTTGAGCAGATACTGCTTTTGCAGCACACATTGCACAAGACGGATCGACAGTGGCGCATATCCGCTGTATACATAGGCGATATCGTTTGGGTCGTCTTCCTGAACTTCATCGACGATGAGACGCAGAAGTTTGCGGAGATACGTATAGTTCGTCTTTGTCCCTGTTGTGTTGCCACCAGAGCCAGTCATCGGGATCATTTCTGCCAACGGAGAAGAGCGCGACAAGAACAGTTGAAGCTTCTCGAGGTTATTCAGGGTGAGGATGTGCTGATAGCCGTAGCCCTCGAGGATAAGTCGTCGGAACTGGTCGAATTCCTTCGGTTTGATGCCGCCTGATATGCACGAGTAAATGCAAAGCAGCCTCAGAACTTCCGGTAACGGTGTGTCTCGGGCAATCAATTCCTCGATGGCTTCGAATTGTGAGGATGGGTCCGCACCAGCAGCTAGATTCTGCTGAGCTTCCAAGAGACCTTTGAACTGGTCTGTCCGTGTGTACTTCATGACCTCCTCTGCCAAGCCCGTATGTATGCGCAGACTTTGCTGCTCCGCTTGATATCCAGGCAGCTTACTGACAAAATCCTTAAGCTCAGCGATGGATTTGTGACTATTTCGTCCTTCGTAATCCTTCTGTAAATTCTGAAGTCGGCGAGCGACTTTGTTCAACAAACTACCGACAATGGCGAAATTTGTGTCACGAAGTTGTTCGTATAGTTTGTCAGAGGAATCTAGTTGGATTTTGCGTTTCCTGGCTTGCGCGCTCGTCGCCGAGGATTGAGAAGGGGCACCAACAACTGTCGTATCCACTTCAGCTTGGTTGTTCTGGATGCCGAATACTTCGTCAATGAGTCCCTCGTAGGTCAGTTGAGTCAACAGAGGAGTGACAAAGTCCACTTCGCGGTCGATTATTATGACACTTTCGGTGAGTGTGCTCGGCGTCAGGCCACCACGATTCGTCTCATTCGCATCTTCGCCTGCAAGTATCTCTTGTCGCATTCGTGCCAGAAGCTCGGCAACTCGTTTTGCGTTGTCGCCTTTGCCGATGATTCGGGGGAACAACCCGTGATTCTGTTGGATCTCCATCAGAGCCTTGGCGAGCAGGAAGGACGGTGTGACGTCTTTCGAGAGATACAGGTCGCGAAAAGATTCATCCAACTCGAGGGAGAGAAGATCCTTCTCAAGAGGAAAGAAGTGTAATGGCAGCTCAGAGATATTCACGTCGCCCAAGACGCCAGCCTCCTCGAGCAGCTTGTCGGAGACGAGTGTCCTTCGAGGCACCCAGAAGATGTGGAATTCATGGCCTGTTTGGCTCTCTCGCTGTAAGCGACGGATCTGCTCTGAGAGGTCGTTAGCATGAAGTGCAGCTCACTCAGCAGGTTGTAGGTCGGTTGCAAGAAGCCTGGCCATCAAGCAGCATCTTTCTCGGCAGGCCACGGATGATAGTCGCGCGATTAAGCTTAAGACGCTTCGTGAAAATTCGCTGGGACCTGAGGGAACATGTGAGATTCGGATAAGGGTGCTTGCTGACCTGCTATGGCTGACGCATGGCGAGCACACTCGCCACGGGCTATGAAGATGACATTCCGCTGGCTGGTGTCGGCGTTCTTGTTCTCGAGGAAGAAGAACTTGTCTACGCCGTATTCCTGTAGAGTAGCAACCTTGACGATGGTGCTGATCGGGCCCGCTAAGCTGCGCTCAAGAATGAGGTTCTTCTTCCCGCGGACCTGAATACGCCGGGGTTAGCTCGCGAAGGACAGGCAGCCGGGTCGAAATGCCTTACTTACAGCCTCGAGCAGGTAAAGGAGGTCCTTGCGCGCTTTGTCCTTTATTTGGTCCGTATTGAAGCCAGGCCGAGGAGCCATTTTCAGTTCTCCATGCAACTGGCACCGATTGTTGTTTCGTGGAGCGCAGATTGACCGCTGCTAGGCGAGGTGACGTGGTCGGGGTAAGGTAAGGTAGGTAAGGTAGATGGAACGGTGACGGAGAGCTGTGGTCGCAAAGGGCCTAAGGTCTGGAGCTATCGGGTTGAGAGATTAGATTGGTTACAACACGGGACGTCTTCCATGCACAGAGAGCATTTGCGTCAGCGGGGTCAGGCCGCCAGGGTGATTTACCTTAGGTGCCACCTCACAGTGCAGGTGCTCTCTCGGGGAATTCCATACCGGATCAGTGGGGGCCAGTCACTGTGTCCGGCCCGCTCTCAGCGCTACGTCCATTCCGTCAGGTCGATGAATGTCTCAACCTGGAAATGTTTCCAGTTGCGAGAAACACTGCTTCGCGATCGCTGGTCGCGACGATTTGTTCTGCAGACTTGCAGCATGAAAGCTCTGGAATATGGTCTACTTGCTAACATGATGCGCAGTAGAGGCCACCTAGGATGTATACCTTACTTGGCCAAAAAAGTATGGTCCGCTGATCCTACCAAACATCAACATGGAT